GCGGGGGGGGGGGGGGCGGGAAACCGGGGCCCGGGACCCCCCCCCCCCCTTGTCTCCTGCAGGGGGAAACTGAGGCACGGACCCCTCCCCTTGTCACCCAGAGGGGGAAACTGAGGCACGGACCCCTCCCAATGTCACCCAGAGGGGGAAACTGAGGCACGGACCCCTCCCCTTGTCACCCAGAGGGGGAAACTGAGGCACAGACCCCTTCCAATGTCACCCAGAGGGGGAAACTGAGGCATAGACCCCTCCCCATGTCACCCAGAGGGGGAAACTGAGGCACGGACCCCTCCCTTGTCACCCAGAGGGGGAAACTGAGGCACGGAATCCCCCCAATGTCTCCTGCAGGGGGAAACTGAGGCAAGAACCTTTCCAACCCTCCCCCAAGGTCCTCCCCAACATTGGAGGGTGAAGCCTCTGGCCCTTTAAGAGGAGGAGTCCCCACAGTTCAGCCCAGCACAGCCCGTTCTTTTCGGAGGAGGGATTTTAGGAGTGATTTTAGGAGCGATCCCACCTCACCACCTTCCTCGGGGAGGAATTTGAGGGCGGCTCACCGTGAGAATCCAGGTTGAGGAGATATTGGAGCAGCATCCCCCGGAGTTCTCCACAGGCTCTCCCGAGCTCCTTGGTGTGAAGACCCAAACCCCTCAGAGCACCCCAAACCCTCCATTGCACTCCTGAATCCCTCAGCATCCCCTGAGGCCCCTCAGTGACCCTCCAAAACCCCTCAGGTGACCCAACTCTCCCCTTTTCCCCTCACAATTCCTGCCCTTTTCTCCCCTCACGTTTTCCCTGCTGTGATGGGGTTTGGGGGGATTTGGGGGTCTCTGGTAGCGTTTGAGGGGATTTGGGGGTCTGTACTGTGGTTCTGGGGGTGCAATGAGGGGTTGGGGGTCTCTGTGCCCCTTTTCCAGGACCCATCACCACCGACCTCTGCTCCTTCCCCCCCGAGACCCCCCAAAAGAGGGACCCCCCACCATGGAGGTGAGGAGGGGTCTGCAGCGGGGGGTGACCCGGGGCTGGGGAGGGGTCACCAAAGGAATTCCCCCCTCCATGTCCCCCTGTGCCCCCTCCCCTGCCAGGAGCTGCTGGAGCTGGGCCCGGGCTCTGAATTGGGGAGGGGGCTCCGCCTGGCCCGCGACAGCCACGGGGTCTATGTGGCCGAGGCCCCCAAATCCCTGCGGCTGCGCCAGGGTGAGGACACCGGGGGGACACTGGGGAGGACTGGCTCCCCCCGGAGCCCCCGCGCCCCCCGCGACCCCGCCTCACCGTGCGGGAAGCGGCCGCAGCCCGGACCCCGCTGCCCGAGCCCCCCGAGCTGCCCCCGGCCGCCTCCGGGCCCCGCATCCCTGCCGTGGAGCTGGCGGCTCCCAAGGGGTCCCTGGGGCTGAGCCCACCCCCCTGGGCAAAGGGGGGCCCGGCCACGACCCCCGATGGTGCCGGAGGAGATGAGGAGGGGGCGCCGGGCGCTCGCGGGGGGTTCCCGGCCCTCCGCGTCCCCTCCGTCCCCATCGATGTCCCCAAAGCCGCCGTGGAGCTGGTCCCGGAGCTCGGCCTCGCTAGCCCGGAGCCCCCCGCGGGCTCCCGGTTTGCCGAGGGGCTGCGGAAGCTCAGCCGGGAGCTGGAGGCTCCGGCGGTGGAAATCGCCCCCAAGCCCCCCAAATTCCGCCTCCCCCGCCTCGGGTGGGCGCTGGCCAAGCTCCGGGAGGGCGGCGGAACCCCTCCGGCGTCGCCCCCCGGCATCGCCATTCCCAGCGTGGAGCTGGATCTGGGCGCGGTGGGAGACGCCGGGGCCAAGCTGAAGGTCCCCAAATTGTCGCTGGCGCCGTTCGGTGACATCGAGGACGGTCCCCGCTTGGGGATCGGGGGCGCTCCGGGGTCCCCCCGGCTCCGCGCCCCGCGGTTCGGCATCGCTGCGGCGGCGCTGCCCAAATTCGGGGGCTCCAGCCCCGACCTCCGCCCCGGGGGGGTCCCCAAAGCGCCCCCAAAACGGGGGGGCAGCGCCGAGAGCCTGATCCTGGGCTGGACGGCACCGGAGCCCCCCGGGACCCTCCGCTCCAGGCCGAAATCTCGGGGGGCTTCGGCGCCGCCGTGGCCGCCCCGGATCCCCATCCCCGCCGTGGGGTTCGCCCTGCCGGGACCAGAACCGGCACCGGCACCGGAGCGGCCCGAGCCCCGCCGGGCTGCGGAGCCGCCGCTGCTGAAGGTGCCGGTTCTGGAGCTGGCTCCGCCGGGCTTGGACGGCACCTCGGAGCCGCCCGGGCGCCGCTTTGGGGTGAAACTCCCCAAATTCGGGGCTGGCTCCTCCGGGAGCGGCGCGGGATCCTCCGGGAGGATGAGGAGGGGCGGCTCCAAGCCCGTCCCTGAGGAAGGAGGAGCCCCCCGGGATGGGAACCCCCGGCGCCGCCGGTGGGTGCCCAGGGTGGGTTTCACCCCCGGGGGGGCCTCGCCGGAGCCCCCCAAATTGGGGAGGATGCGGTTCCCCGATGTGGAGCTCTGCCCCGGGGATCCCCAAATCCCTGCGGTCGGGGGGATCTCCTCCCGCTGCGATCCGGGGGGGCTCCGGGGCGAGGGGACCCCCAAATTCCAGCTGCCGCAGGTGGTGCTGAGCCCCCAAATCTGTGGAGAGCCATGAGCCCCCCCTCCCAGCCTGGGGGGGCTTTGGGGACCCCCGAAAGCGGTGACTGAGCTCCCCCAGACCCTCTCTAACTCCCTCCCTCCCTCCCTCCCAAATTCCTAATCCAGCTTTTTATTTTATTTTTTTTTCGGGGGGGCTTTGAGGCTTTTTCGCCCATTTTTGGGGTGTTTCTATTAACCAGGGAAGGGGGCACAAGGCTGCTGCCCCCCACCCCGGCCCCTCGCGCTTGTTTTGGCCAGAATAAATGTTAATCCTAAAAAAAACCTGGAGTGTGATGGGGCTGGGGGGTCCGGGGGGGCTTTGGGGGGTCCAGGGAGGGGTTTAGGGGGTCCAGGGGGAGGTTTGAGGGGTCCAGGGAGGGGTTTGGGGGGTCCAAGAAGGAGTTTGGGGGCCCAGGGATGGGACTGTTGGTCCAGAAAGGGGTTTGGGTGATTATGGGTGAGGTCTGGGGGTCCAGGGAGGGATTTGGGGGGTTTAGGGATGGGACTGGGGGTCCTGGGATGGAATTGGGGAACCAGGGAAGGGTTTGGGGGTCCAGGGAGGAGTTTGGAGGTACCATGGATAGAGTTTGGGGGTGCAGGGATGGAACTGGGGGTCCAGAAAGGGGTGACTATGGGTGGGGTTTGGGGGTCCAGGGAGGGATTTGGGGGGTTCAGGGAAGAGTTTGGGGGGTCCAGGGATGGGACTGGGGAACCAGGGAGGGGTCTGGGGGTCCTGGGATGGAATTGGGGAACCAGGGAAGGGTTTGGGGGTCCAGGGATGGGTTTGGAGGGTGCAGGGATGTAATTGGGGGTGCAGGGAGGGGTTTGGGGGGTCCAGGGATGGAATTGGGGGTTCAGGAAGGGGTTTGGGGTTGCAGGGATGGAATTGGGGAACCAGGGAGGGTTTTGGGGTTCCAGGGATGGGTTTGGGGGTCCAGGGATGGGTTTGGGGGGTGCAGGGATGGAACTGGGGAACCAGGGAGGGGGTTGGGGGTGCAGGGAAGAGTTTGGGGGGTCCAGGGATGGAATTGGAGATCCAGGGATGGAATTGGGGGTCCAGGGACGGAATTGGGGTCCAGGGATGGAATTGGGGGTCCAGGGATGGGTTTGGGGTTCCAGGGATGGAATTGGGGGTCCAGGGACGGAATTGGGGTCCAGGGATGGGTTTCGGGGTCCAGGGATGGGTTTGGGGGTTCAGAGATGGAATTGGGGAACCAGGGATGGAATTGGGGGTCCAGGGATGGGTTTGAGGGTCCAGGGAGGGGTTTTGGGGGTGCAGGGATGGAATTGGGGGTCCAGGGATGGAATTGGGGTCCCAGGAATGTGTTTGAGAATCCAACGACCACGCACCACCCCACACCACCTCCACAAACCCCATTTCTTTTATTTCCCCCCCCAAAATCCTCGGGCCCCCGCGGGGTCCCCCCGGCGCTAGCGGGGCCCGCAGCGCCCGGCCCAGCCCTCGGTGTCGCCGATGTCCACGCTGTACCGGGAGCTCCAGTCCCGCTCGAAGAGGTCCCGGAGCCGCTCCCGGAAGGTGCCGGCGCCCGGCCCGGGCTGCGCCACCACCAGCGCCGAGCCCGCCGTGCGCTCGAAGTAATCCCCGGACCAGTTGGATGTGCCTGAGGGGCATTTTGGGGAGGGGGACGGGGGGGATTCAGCCCCAAAACAACCTCAAAGTGCGCCCAAATGCACCCAAATGCACCCCAAAGTGCACACAAATGCACCCCAAAGTGCACCCAAAGAGCACCCTAATGCACCCCAAAGTGCACTGAAATGCACCCAAATGCACCCAAATGTACCCAAATGCACCCAAATGCACCCAAATGTACCCAAAGTGCACCCAAATGCTCCCAAATGCACCCAAATGTACCCAAATGCACCCAAATGTACCCAAAGTGCACCCAAATGCACCCAAATGCTCCCAAATGCACCCAAATGTACCCAAATGCACCCAAATGCTCCCCAAAGTGCACCCGAATGCACCCAAGTGCACCCAAATGCACCCAAATGCACCCAAATGTACCCAAATGTACCCAAATGCACCCAATGCACCCCAAAGTGCACTGAAATGTACCCAAATGCACCCCAAAGTGCACCCAAAATGCTCCCAAATGCACCCCAAAGTGCACCCCAAATGTACCCAAATGCACCCAATGCACCCCAAAGTGCACGGAAATGTACCCAAATGCTCCCCAAAGTGCACCCAAATGTACCCAAATGTACCCCAAAGTGCACTGAAATGCACCCAAATGCACCCCAAAGTGCACCCAAATGCACCCCAATGCACCCAAATGTACCCCAAAGTGCACCCAAATGTACCCAAATGCTCCCAAATGTACCCCAAAGTGCACCCAAATGCACCCAAATGCTCCCAAATGTACCCCAAAGTGCACCCGAATGCACCCAAATGCTCCCAAATGTACCCCAAAGGCACCCAAATGCACCCAAATGTACCCAAAGTGCACCCAAATGCACCCAAATGTACCCAAAGTGCACCCAAATGCACCCAAATGTACCCAAAGTGCACCCAAATGCACCCAAATGTACCCAAAGTGCACCCAAATGCACCCAAATGTACCCAAAGTGCACCCAAATGCACCCAAATGTACCCAAAGTGCACCCAATGCACCCCAAAGTGCACCCAAATGCTCCCAAATGCACCCCAAAACTCCCGAAACCACCCCAAAATCCCCCCGTGCGCCGCGCTCACCCACGTAGGCGGCCTTGTCGGTCACCATGTACTTGGTGTGGCTGACGCGCGCGAAGGGGATGCGGCTCTGCGCCGCGCTGGCCGGCACCAGGAACAGGCGCTGGGGACACGGGGGATTGTCACCACCCCGAGGGGATTGTCACCCACCCCGAAGTCATTGTCACCCACCACAAGGGGATTGCCACCCCCCGAGGGGATTGTCACCACCCTGCGGCTCTGCGCCGCGCTGGCCGGCACCAGGAACAGGCGCTGGGGACACGGGGGATTGTCACCATCCTGTGGGGTCTGTCACCCACCCTGAGGGGATTGTCACTCATCCTGAGGGGATTGTCACCCACCCCGAATTCATTGTCACCCACCACAAGGGGATTGTCACCACCCCGAGGGGACTGTCACCCACCCTGCGGCTCTGCGCCACGCTGGCCGGCACCAGGAACAGGCGCTGGGGACACGGGGGAATGTCACCATCCTGTGGGGTCTGTCACCCACCCTGTGGGGATTGTCACCCACCCCGAAGTCATTGTCACCCCCCGAGGGGATTGTCACCCATCCTGTGGGGTCTGTCACCCACCCCAAAGTGATTGTCACCACCCCAAGTGGGATTGTCACCCACCCCGAAGTCATTGTCACCCCCCGAGGGGATTGTCACCATCCTGTGGGGATTGTCACCCACCCCGAAGTGATTGTCACCACCCCAAGGGGATTGTCACCCACCCCTAAAAGGATTGTCACACCTCAAAGGTCTGTCACCCCCCCAAAAAGGACTGCCACACCCCTGAGGCGATTGTCACACCTCTGATGGCACTGCCACCCCCATGATGGCATTGCCACCCCCATGATGGCACTGCCACCCCGGATGGCATTGCCACCCCCGTGACAACAGCATTACCACCCCCACGATGGCACTGTCACCCCAATGATGGCATTGTCACCCCCCCGATGGCACTGCCACCCCCATGATGGCACTGCCACCCCCATGATGGCATTGTCACCCCCGATGGCATTGTCACCTCTGATGGCACCGCCACCCCCATGACGGCACTGCCACCCCCATGATGGCACTGCCACACCCCTGATGGCATTGTCACCCCCCCGATGGCACTGCCACCCGCACGACAACATCATTGCCACCCCCGATGGCACTGTCACCCCAATGATGGCACTGCCACCCCCGATGGCACTGTCACACCCCCGATGGCACTGCCACCCCCCCGATGGC